AGCTTTCTGCAGGAATGAACTGAAGGCACCTGGAAAAATTCCCAAGTTTCAAGCCTTCTGACAAAGAAGGAGATGAAGGAGGAGGGAAGGAAGGGTGGAAGAGGAAGAAGAGGGAAAGAACTTGTTGCCCTTTTACTGAGCACCAGGCACTGTCCTAAGCATTGTACGTACACTGCGCATTGACTCTCCTTGTGAGGTATACACTATTATCAGCCCTCCCATTTACAAATAGTGAATCTAAGGCAGAGAGAAGTGAAGCAGCTTACTCAGAGTTATGTCCCTGGTAGGTGAAGAGTGTGAGAGGCTAGCTCCAGAGCCTTGTTCTTAACCCTTCACTTGGCTGCCTTTCTAGAAACTCTTCCACCTTAGCATCTAATAGAGGAGAGAAAAGTCCATAGAATATTATCCTAAAAGTTCCCTTATAGAGTTTTCACTGGTGCCTGAAATTCTATCACCAGGTATAATCCTTTGGATTTAGTAATAGTCCTCCTATTACTAAAATTAATACAAATGTTGATAAGGGGGGACAAAGGGAGGAGGGGAGGAGGGAGAGGGATTAGTAAACTCTCCCCTAATGTGCACAACAATAAGGGTATACAGCACACCCCCGGGTGAAGGCCTCAACTACTACTCTGAACTTTACCTAACAAAAGCAAACAATGTAACCTAATCATTTGTACTTCCATATTAATCTGAAACTTAAAAAAAAAAAATTTAATACAAATGTGATCTAAAGTCACTGCCAATTGTGAAACTTTATAGTACCTGTTCTCCCTCCAGATTTGTGTGAAATCCCCTAAGGGAGCCTTGCCACCAGCCCTGTAGTGAAGTTCTGTAAGAAAGAACAAGAATGGGGCCCAGGATGGGCCTAATGCCTGCAATTCCAGCATTCTAGGGTGGATTGCTTGAGCTCAGTAGTTCCAGACCAGCCTGAGCAAGAGCCAGATCCCATCTCTAAAAACTAGCCAGGCATTATAGCGGGTGCCTATAGTCCAAGCTACTCAAGTGGCAGAGGCAAGAAGATCTCTTCAGTCCAAGAGTTTGAGGTTGCTGTGAGCTATGATGCCAAGGAACTCTACTGAACGTGACAAAGTGAGACTCTGTCAAAAAGGAAAAAAAGGAAGGAAAGAAGGAAGGAAGGAAGGAAGGAAGGAAGGAAGGAAAGAAGGGCGTGCAGCCATCATAAGTTAATGAAGAATAAAATTAAGAGGCTCATGCCCATAATCCCAGCACTCTGGGAGTCTGAGGCAGGTAGATTGCCCTGAGCTTAGGAGTTTGAGACCAGCCTGAGCCAGAGTGAAACTCCACCTCTAAAAATAGCCGAGCATCGTGGCAGATACCTGTAGTCCCAGCTACTTGAAAGGCTGAGGTAAGAGAATCTTGTAAACCCAAGAGTAGCTATGAGCTGCGACACACAGCACTCTACCAAGGATGGCAAAGTAAGATTCTGTCTCAAAAAAAAAAAGAAAAATAGAAATAAAATTGAAAATTAAAATTACCTTTCACTGCTTCAAATTGAGGATAAAAAGAGAGAACATGAAATGGGGAAAGGTAATTTTTTAAAAAGAAAAAGAAAAGAAAAAGCCTTGGGCACAGTTAGGTAGAGGCTTGTTTTTGCCCCCTCCAAGTCTACCATGTGAGCAAACACATGCTGCGCCTGCCCTGAGCACGGAGGACGCCTGGGCAGGTCCCCTGGGAGTCAGCAGAGCCCTAGGCCAGGGAACTCTGCTCCTCCTCAGAGATTATTCACTTAGCGCAATCCTCCTCTCCACTAGACCCAGGCTATGCAGCACAATGTGGAAGAAATCACGTGAAGCTGAAGGAGACGATGACCAGAAAACTGAATAGATTAAAATATTAAAAATGTACTTACAATGAGCAGAATAAGTCAATGATAGGGGAACTATTTTACTTAGTTTGGTATTATGTGGTATTGGAGACAGGAGGCAGATCGGTTTAATAATAAGAGAGACTTTGTGTCATATTATTTTTCTCCACCAAGAGAAATAGGACAAAAAATTCAGCCCATAACAATATGCAATGGCTGGATCTTTATTCACTTTAAATCAGTACACAGACTATAGTGAGTCTGGACAAACAGTAGTGCTCTAAGAAAAGACTTCAGCTTTACCCCTAACTGTCAAATTTGTATTTTCTTTCTTTTCTTCTCTCTCCTTTTTTTTTTTTTTCCCTTGAGACAGAGTCTCACTCTGCAGCCCTGGGTAGAATGCTGTGGCATCATAGCTCACAGCAACCTCAAACTCTTGGGCTTAAGTGATCTTCTTGCCTCAGCCTCCTGAGTAGCTGGGACTACAGGTACCCACCACAACACCAAGCTAGTTTTTCTACATTTAGTAGAGACAGGGTTTGGCTCTTGCTCAGGCTCGTCTTGAACTCCCCGGCTCAGGAAATCCACCCGCCTCAGCCTCTCAGAGTGCTAGGATTACAGGCACGAGTCACTAGCTTAGCCCTATATTTTCCACTACACTAAAAGTTCCTTTGGGACTAATAGATCAACACTAAGGAAAAAAAAAAAGTTCCACCTGTCCGGGGATCATGTGTGTCTTCTGGTACCCTGTAATCCTATTGAGCCTTACACTATGTGTGGCACCTAGTAGGTGTTCAGTATAGTGATGGAGTGAATCACTCCATCACTATAGGTTTACATGAAGTGTGAGGTTGATGAAGATGTGTCAGAAACTGCATTCAAAACGAGAATGCAGAAGAGAGAAGCTCTTCTCTTCCTATGCGTGTCATGTTGATGGATACAGATTATTAATAGGAGAGAGAGGGAAGGGACTTAAATTGGAGCAGCTGAGGAAAAACGAAAGAAGAGGATTAAAATAAGCTTTTCTTTTCAAATTATTATCGTTGAGCTCAAAACAAGACAAAAGTTGAAAACCAAATTGTTATCCTATCTCTAAGGTAAGAAAAATTTGAACACATTTTAAGTAGGAAAGTTAAATATCCCAGTGCAGATTTGCTTTACCAATATACAGCATTATGTAAATAGAGAATAAAGGATTAGACTCCCTAACTATTAATATCTTCCAGGACTCTGCGCATATCACCTCCGGATCCTCTGATTTGTGTTCTATGCCTATAGTCTCTCTGTTCTGTCAAACTGCAATTTTTTTTAGCCTTTTACAAATTGTTATTTTACATGTTTTGTTTATTTATTTTGGAGATGAGGTCTTGCTATGTTGCCCAGGGCTTGATGACAATCACTTACTCCTGAGCTCAGGTGATACTCCCACCTCAGCCTCCCAAATAGCTGGGATCACAGACGTGAGTCATTGCACTGGCTCGAGATTGTGATTTTTATTTCATGTTTTGTTTCCCTGAATAAACACATGCTTTCTTCATGTTAGTCTGATAATCGTGAAATTCATTATTGACTCAGAATCTAAAGGGGTTAATTCTGGCAAATGCCTACAGCAGGAATGAGCAGAAAAAGATGTCATAAAGTTACTGTTTAGAAGTTTTAGACATAACAGATTCTGTGATTTCCCAATAGTTGAAGGCAAACCACATTGCAACCTGAAAGTGAATCCTCTAAAGAGGGTGGGCTATCTCAGTTTTAAAAGTCTGACAGATGGTAGAGTTGCTTCAAGAAATTATATTTTATAAACAATATTGCTTCCTTTGTTTTCACATTTCCCGTGACTCCAAGGGGCCATTATGATAAATAGCAAAGCACAGTCTTTCTCTTTGGTTGTGCCTTGTTCTCATATCTGGAAACTTGAAACCAACCATGCTCCTCATTCACACAGTATGAATACCTTACTTGATGTGGAATGTAGGAGATTAAAATGAGAAGTGATAAGCTAGTATTTATCTTATAACAGAACATGGAAAGTTAGAGCTAAGAGGGTTCTTGGAGATCATCCAGTCCAACACCTCTTCCTTTTCACTTAAGGAACCTGAAACTCAAAGAAGTGTTGAAATTTGCCCTTTGTCCCTGAATACACAGTTGGCAGGAGATCTACTTTGAAATACAGGGTGTCCATAAATTTGTGTGCAATTAAAAAAAAATTTATAAATGGCACATGACCTTTATGGCCACCCTATGTGTGTGTCTCAAAGAAGCCTCATTGCTCAAACTTATTGATCACCAGGAGTAAAAGAGGTTGCCTTATACGCTTTAATATACTTCGCAGGCATTACACATGTGGGAAGCCCGGAGCCAAAAATATAAAAAAATTGTCCCCAAATGTCCTTGGCTCTGGGGTTGACAGAAGCCGGGGACTGGGGAAGTATTCTCTGGTAGCTAGAATTCCATGACTTAAGAAAAAGAAAAGCTGTATTGTTGCTATGTAGCTGTGAAGCAGGAGACCTATGACTCTCCTGTGCAGTCTTCTAGCACCAAAGTTGAGCCAAGAACTGCTGACTGTACCTGCTGCTGAGTCCACACCTGCTCAGGCCCCTCTTGGGAGCTTTCCTGCTAGCAACCTTCTCCCCAGACACTGAGTGCTCTGCCTAGCCAGAAGAAAATAGAGCTGAGAGCAGGAGAATTTTGGCTCCCTCTCCCATCAAAAAATCAAATGGATTCCCAGAAGAACAAGTATATCAAAAATAGTGATTTGTAATATGGAATTCTCAATTCCCTTGAGGTTCATAAGACACTGAAGCAGTTTTCAGTATTTGAAATGGAAATCACACATCCATCCCCAATGCTACACAAAGTGTAACATCAAGTTTCTTTCCTTTGGCTTGAATTCTGTCATTCAGTGGGATTTTTCAGACCTACGAGGAGCTCTGAACAGCAGTTAAAGATAGCTTAGATAACAAAAAATGAAGAAATCATCACCTATTAGATAATAATCAGTTCCCTTAAAAGATAAGATGAAATAATTAAATGGATTTTTGTGGGTATAAAGAGGTTTGGAAGCACTAGTTTTAAACCAAAGACAACTTTATGCCAAAAGACTCTTTAAAACTTCTCTAAGAGAAACCCCCTCCCATTCCAGCTTTCCCCTGTTTCCATGGCAATAACTCACTGGACAGGGCAGAGAGGTTTTCCTGTGATAGGTGGCTTGTGGTCGGTGGCGCTCCCGGAGTCCTCTCTCATCCTCTTCTCTCCAGCTGTGACCCCAGAAGCTGCTCATCCATTTGGCAAAAGACACATCATCGTCGTCATCATCTCTGTGCTCCATGTAAAGGTGATTCAAAAGACGGAAGGCCTGTCCCTAAATCTGACCAAGGGAAATATCACCCAACAGGGCTGACCTGATGAAACCCAGAATCTCCTCCCAAAAGACAAAATGAAACTGATATTTTAAAACGGTCTCCAACCATGGCATCCTTGAAGGAGAAAGATTTACTAAACAACCACTTCATCATCAGGCAGCCTTGGGCAATGTCTATTTATAAATTGTGCAGCCCACATTCCCCTCCCCCTTGTCTTTTTAAATTGAGAGGCTGTCTAATCCTTCCATTGCTGGGGCTTGTGCCTCACAGCCTAAGGGTGAGAAGCAGTCCGCTGCCTGGTTTTTCCCTGTGCTTTGTTGCTCACGGCATGTGATGGCATCTCCAGCTGTCAATGATGATGGAGCATGACCCTCACATATGCCTCACAGCTCCAGGCTAGCTCTGAAATGGGGCCACGCATAAGGAACAGACTAACTGCAGTTTGCAAGGCGGCCAGCTGCAAATGTAAATAATATACAAGTGCATGTAAAATTTATAAATCCTATGTGCACAGCTTGACAGATATTTACATGTGTTTACCACCATGCAGGTGAGGACATGGACCATTTCCAGCACCCCAACCAGCTTCCCCTATCCCTCTTCCAATCCATACTTCCTTCAAAAGGTTACCATTTCTGACCTCTGTCACTACAGATTAATTTTGCCTGTTTTTGAACTTTCTTCCAGTGGTGTTGTACAATATCTATTATCTGTGTCATTCAACTTTTTTCAGTGAGATATATTCATGTTCTGGCAGCCACAGTAGTTTATACTGTTGCATTATATTGCATTGTATGAGTGCCCCATGGTATTTTTTAATTAAGCCTACTACTGATGGCCATTTGGGGCTGTCCTTTGGGTTATTTCCAGTTGGGACTATTATAGATAAAACTTCTATGAACATTATAGTCTCCTTCTTTTAGTAGGTATTTTTTTCAAGATAAAGAAAATATTATTTGGAGCCTATATTTTATGATATTATTTGGAGCCTAATATATGGAGCCTATATTTTGCATCTAATGTGGAGCCAACTACTTCACATATGCCAACTTCATTATGACAACTCTGTGACTGGAAGATTTGTATCCCATTTTTTTTTTGATAGGGAAACTGAGTTTCAAATAGACCAACCCTTGCCAAGGTGAAAAATAAAGCCAAGTTTGAAGCAAAAAACAGAGCAACAGCGCCCACGTTCTTTCCATGGTGCTCTGACAGTATTCCAAGAGACCTTTGGGAAATCTTGCATTTTCAAACACGGATTCTTGGCCATTTGTCATAGAGCTGCAAAAATATAGGTTTGATAACTATGACCAATGTTTGTGGAGCATGGTATCACAACTAAGGAAAAGTAACCAAACCGACTTGGCACCGGTGGCTCAAGTGGCTAAAGTGCTAGCCACATACACCTAAGGTGGTGGGTTCCAATCCAGCCTGGGCCCACCAAACAACAATGATGGCTGCAACCAAAAAAACACAGCCAGGCGTTGTGGCGGGCGCCTGCAGTCCCAGCTACTTGGGAGGCTGAGGCAGGAGACTCACTTGAGCCCAGGAGTTGGAGGTTGCTGTGAGCTGTGATGCCACAGCATTCTATCCAGGGGGACAGCTTGAGGCTCTGTCTCAAAAGAAAAGAAAAAGAAAAGAAAAGTAACCAAACCACAAAATGACTTGCAACATTTTCCTTTAAATAATGAGAAATGCATGCCTGCTACTTTGTAATATTTTTATTAAAGAATTAAGAAAGACTGCCTCTCAATGACCCATACGAAAAAAGAGAAGCTATAATGATATGTCATTACTGTTCCCTTAGGGAAGTAAGGACCAAAGCTACCCATGAAACATGACTATAGACTTCTTTTCCAGACCTCCTAAGATAGGAGTATTCTGGTTTGGTGCCTGTAGCTCAGTAGTTAGGGTACCAGCCACATGTACCAGAGCTGACAGGTTTGAACCCAGCCTGAGCCTGCTAAAAAAAAAAAAAAAAAAAAACTGGACCCTGTAGTTTCAGCTACCTGGGAGGCTGAGATAAGAGAATCGCTTAAGCCCAAGAGTTGGAGGTTGCGCCACAGCACCCTACCTAGGGAGATAGCTTAAGAACCAGTCTCAAATAAATAAATACATACATAAATGGGGATAAGATGGAGAAATCAGTGCAGAGAATATCTAATTTCTACTTAAAAGTACTTAGAGGGAAATTGATGGGACCTTATATTAGAACCTCTTTGACTGCTGGCCATCTCTTGGCGTGCTAAACCCTTCCTTTAATGCCTTATAGACAGAATTAACTAAGGTATTGGCAGATGTTCAGGGATAAAAAGGTGATGTAGCAAGCCTGAGGCTGTTTATCCTTAGAATGATTCGCTTATGAGGTTGGCCCTTGGCTAGCATCTGGAAAATTGTCTGTCAATAGTTTTTTACAGTAATATAAAACATCCTCTAAATGATAAAAATATGTCTTATGCTTAGACTACACATACAATCAGGCATCCTCAAACTATGGCCCACGGGCCTGCCCAGAACATTTATCCAGCCCGACAGGTGTTTTTGTCGCTGCTGCCTGTCCTGCTTAGCAGTGGACTCATCCCAGGGCCCGTAGTCCGGCCCTCCAATGGTCTGAGGGACAGTGAACTGGCCCCCTGTTTAAAAAGTTTGAGGGCCCCTGCGTAGATTATGCTGAGCACCTGTTTTCTTTCTGGGAGTCTGGAATTTTGGTATGCACTAGGCAGAGAGTATATCTTGGTCAGTTTAGGCTGCTAAACAAAAACTATGACTGTGTGCCTTAAATAACAAACATTCATTTCTCACAGTCCAGGAGGCTAGGAAGTCCAAGATCAAGGCACTAGCAGAACGAGTGATGGGTGAGGACCCGTTTCTGCGTTCATAGATAGTTGCCTTCTCACTGTATCTTCATATGGCAGTGAAGGGCCATTTTTCATATCTCTTCTTACAAGGGCACTGTATTCATCAGTGTTCTCCAGAGTAGGAGACGTAGACTGTATATATATGAGATACATATGAGGAATTGACTCATGCAATTGTGAAGGCTGAGAAATCCCACAATCTACCATCTGCAGGCTGGAGAGCCAGGAAAGCCGGTAGTATAATTCAGTCTGAGTCCTAAGGTGTACAAACCAGAGGATCCAGGGGTATAAATCCCAGTGTGAGGGCAGGGGAAGAGGAGATGAGATGTCCCAGATCAAGCAGTGAGGCAGGGAAAAGAGGGCAGATTTCTCCTTCCTCCACCTTTTGCTCTGTCCAGGCCCTCAAACTGAATGATGCCCACCCACCCACACTGGGGAGAGCCATCTAGTTTACTGAATTCACTGATGCAAATGCTATTCTCATCCAGAAATACCCACATACAGACATCCAGAAATAATGTTTAATCTGGGGACCCTGTAGCTAGTTAAATTGACACATAAAATTAACCATAAGAGGCACTAATCCCATTCACAGGGCTTCACCCTCATGACCTATTTATCCCACCCAAACTCCACCTCTGGGTACCATTACATTGGGGATTTGTTTTAACATAGGAGTTCTGGGGGACACAAATATTCAGTCCACACCATGTAGTCCATACCTTACATGACCAGCACACAATATAAAGCCTGCACACAAGTCTCTGATGAGCAAGCAGACAGCACTTCACACATGTTGCCACAGTGCACGACTGGAGGAATAAGCACATCCTGTGGGAATTTACTGGAATAGGGCTTTTGGAAGTTTGTGCCTGGCTTCCTCCAAACGTCACCCCATATGCCTTTTCCATTTTCCTTCTCCAGTTAGGCTTTATACCCTAAGTGAAATACATTTTATTCATGGGTACAACTATATGCTGAGTTCTAACAAATCCTTACACTGGGGGTGACAGTATCAGAAGTGGGATTTGCTAAGACAATCCCAATTCACACAAAATACAGCTGAAGTAGTGTTTGGAAAAGGGAAGGATGAAGGAGATGTGATGGTGAACCTTCAATGCCCAGTGACTACCTAGTCAACTGTGGTATGAATAGATGCTGAGATGATGTCTGTTGTGAGAGGCATAAGGGACCTACAGAATTTGAAAATGATGAATCCATCCCTAGGAGAATGGCTTCACTGGATTCCCTGACTTCTCAACCATGGAAACAGAAGTGAGGGGATTAAATAGTGCATCCTGGATAATGCCTTTGGCCTTTGTTCTCTCCCCTAGGTCAGAGAACAAAGGCCCCAATTTTCCCAAAACACGTTTTGGACTGGCCAAAAAATATTTAGTGTTTATACTGCTTTTTCCTCCAAGTAAGAAGGAAAAAAGATTAAGTCAGTTCCAAGGACTGGAACAGGCTTTAGATAAACCAGAAGCAAAGGAGAAGGGCAGTGGATAACACTCCATCCACTGGTACAGAAGCCCCTTATATTCCAGCTGAGAGTCCCTTAGCAACTGGAATGTTAATCTTATAAATGTTGAATTACTACTGGGGGTTTGAGTAAACTTATAATGAAAAAAAAAAGGAGATTTACTTATTTATTTATTTTGAGACAGAGTCTCAGGCTATTGCCCGGGGTAGAGTGCTATGGCGTCACAGCTCACAGCAACCTCAAACTCTTGTGCTTAAGTGATTCTCTTGCCTCAGCCTCCCGAGTAGCTGGGACTACAGGTGCCTGCCATGATGCATGGCTAGTGGGTTTTTTTTCTATTTTTAGTAGAGACAGTTTCTCACTCTTGACCAGGCTAGCCTCCAACTCCTGAGCTCAGGCAACCCACGTGCCTTGACTTCCCAGAGTGCCAGAATTACAGGCACGAACCACTGTGCCTGGTCTCATTTTTATATTTCTTTACAGAAATTTCTATTCAAGCCTTTCATCCATTTTTTGAACTGGGTTGTTTATCTTTTTGGTGTTGAGTGCTATTTATGTAATATATGGTTTACAAATTTAAAAATGAAAATAAAAAGCAGGCTCAGCGCCTGTGGCTCACGTGACTAAGGCACCAGCCACATACACCTAAGGTGGCAGGTTCGAATCC